TCTTCTGATGTGATGACTCCAAACCTGAGATTTGAGAGATGACTCGAGAGAGAGAGAGATGGAGAACGAGAGAAGAGAGAGAGAGATGAGAGAGACGAGAGAGAGGAGAGTATGGAGAAACACTTTCCTTTCCAATTCCCCGTATTCTTCTCACCTCGTCTTGTTCGCCCCTCCTCCTTCATATTCCCGCATCCACCCCCCCCCTTTTCTCTCCCCTATCTCCGCTATTCTCCTTTACTATCTGACTCCCCCCCTACCTCCTCCCCTGCCCTTTTCTCTCTCCTCTCTCCCCTCTCTCCTCTTTTCCTCTTCCCTTCTCTTCTCTCTCTCTCTTCTCGCTCTCTCTCTCTCTCTCTCTCTCTCTCTCTCTCTCTCTCTCTCTCTCTCCCTCCCTCCCTCCTCCCTCCCTCCCTCCCTCCCCTCCCTCCCTCCACCTCCCTCCCTCCCTCCCTCCTCCTCCCCTCCTCTCTCTCTTCTCTCTCTCTCTCTCTCTCTCTCTTCTCTCTCTCTCTCTCTCTCTCTCTCTTCTCTCTCTCTCTCTCTCCTCTCTTCTCTTTCTCTCTCTCTCTCTCTCTCTCTCTCTCTCTCTCTCTCTCTCTCTCTCTCTCTCTCTCTCTCTCTTTCTCTCTCTCTCTCATCTCTCCTCTCTCCTACTCTCTCTCTCTCTCTTCTCTCTCTCTCTCTCTCTCTCTCCCTCTCTCTCTCTCTCTCTTCTCTCTCTCTCTCTCTCTCTCTCTCTCTCTCTCTCTCTCTCTCTCTCTCTCTCTCTCTCTCTCTCTCTCTCTCTCTCTCTCTCTCTCTCTTCTCTCTCTCTCTCTCTCTCTCTCTCAGGATTAAATGGATCTTTCATAAGTTGTCAATACAATAGTATTGTTCGATTACTCTTATTATAATGCTTTTTACATAAAAAACGTTAGGACCATAATTCTATCATTATCATTATCATTATTTCCATCATCATTATTGTCGTCATCACTATCATTAGGACCACTGCCATTTTTTCATTAACATCCACTTCTGTCATTCCAGTTTTTGTTATTACCGTTATTAGATTAGCAGTAATGTAAGCATTAACTTCCTAATTCTAATTTTGCATCTAATTTTGCAGTTCCTCTTGCATCGTCATTATTTATCATTTTCTTAAATTACTTTAGCTCTCTTCATTCTTTCTTTTTTTTACGTTTGTCTATCTCATTTCCTCAAAATCTTTCTCGTTGTTTGAATTCATTCGTTGGTATATATATTTTTTTTTCTGGTTTATTTTCTTTATCTTCCTTACCATCTTTTTGGTACGTCTCAGTCCCTTTGCTTTCTCCTTCTTTCTCTTCTTTTTTACCATATATATTTTTTTTTCTTCTTCCCCTTTACCCATTTTTTACAATTTTCTCTTCAAATCTTTTCAAGAATTTTCCTTCTAATATTCTTCTCTCACTGTCCCCTCCCTCTTTCTCTCTCTCTTCCCTCTCCCTTTCTCTTTTCCTTTTTCTCTTCCCCTCCATCTCTTTTTTTCTTCCTTTTTCTTTTACATATTCCTCCTCCCTATTTCTCTCTTTCTTCCGTTTTTTTTTTTTTTCCTTGCCGTCCCTCTCTTTCTTTTTCTCTTTCTTTCCCCCCTCTTTCTATTTCTATTTCCCCTTACCTCTTATTCTATCTCTTCCCACTTCTTTCTCCTTCTCCTGCCCTCGCCCTTCCTCTCCCATCTTTCTCTCTCTCCCTCTCTTTCCTTCATCTTCTAAACCCATCCCCATCTTTCGCTTTTCCCTCCCCCCCTTCCTTCTTCCTCTTTCTCTCCCCTCTTTCTCTTCGCTTTTCTTATTCCATCTTCGCAGCATGAGGACGCAATCTTCGCCCGTAAGGAATTCAAAGATCTCGAGAGAGAAAAAAATATATAATATAGATAAATCTTCCGGGAAAAATCCAGGAATATATGTGTGTGATGAAAATGGGAGAAGGTAAAGGGGTGGAAACAGCAGAAAGTGTGAGTAAGAGAAAAAGAGAGAGAGACAAGGAAGGAGGCGAGGGAAGGAGGAGAGAAGAGAAGAGAGGAGAGAGAGAGAGAGGCAGGAGAGGGAGAGAGAGAGAGAGAGAGAGAGAGAGAGAGAGAGAGAAGAGAGAGAGAGAGAGAGAGAGAGAGAGAGAGAGAGAGAGAGAGAGGAGAGAGAGAGAGGGAGGGAAGGAGAGGGAGAGAGAGAGAGAGGGGGGGGTGGAGAGAGAGAGTGGGGGGAGGGGGGAGGGAGAAGAGAGAGAGAGAGAAAAAGAGGGAGGGAGGGAGAGAGCAAAAAATACAGAGACGGAAACAAAAAAAGAGATAAGGGAGAAGATAGAAACACAGAGACAGAGAAAGAGAAGGTGACAGAGGAGGAGAGAAACAGAGGCAGAGAGAGTAAGAAAATGACAGCTTAGAAAGAGAAAAAGAAGAGAACAAAAAGAGAGAGAAAAAGACAAAGAAAGAGAGACAGACATAGAAAGAGAGAAAAGAGGCAAAGAAAAAAAAGAAAGAGTAAGTGAAGAAACAGAGAAGAGGAAAAGGGAAAGAGAGACAGACAAAATGAGAGAAAGAGAAACAGAGAATAGGAGAGAGAGACAAAGAGAGAAAGAAAGAGGGACAGGTAATGAAAGAGAAAAAAAGAAAAAGAAAGAAAGAGAAAGAGAAAAAAAAAAAAAGAGACAGCCAAAGAAGAGAGAAAGGAGAAAGAGTAAGAGAATTAGAAACAGGAAAATGAGAGAGAGAAAAGACAAGGAAGGGAGAGACAGACAAAGAAGAGAAAGAAGGAGAAAGAAAAGAAAGAAAAACAGAGAACAGGAGAGAGAGAGAGAGAGAGACAGGCAAAGAGAGAAAGAAGGAGAAAGAAACAAAGAGAAAGAGAAACATAGAATAATATCGAAAGCTAAAGACACGGAAAGATAGAAAGAGAGACAGCGAACGCAAGAGAGGAAGAGAGAAAGAGAATAAGAGAGAGATGGCGACCGAGGGATTAACCCGTGGCCGAGCTGGGCGATCTCCATAGTTACAGACTCCTTGTGCAAAGCGTGCTTATTACCCGGAGAAAATATAGCTCGACCATCAAAGGAATTTTTCTTGATTAATTCACCGTGCGATTTTTTTTTTTTTCTATTATAGACCTATTCGTCTTTCTTTTACTTTATTTAGTTTATTATTTTTCTTTTTGTTGATTCTGCAGTTGATATTTTTCGTATATTTTCATTTGCGTTGATGAGGGGTTGTTTTTTCTGTTTTTTTCTTTTTTTTCTTTTTTTACTCGTGTGCGGGTGCATGCGTAAGTATGTGGACGCGGAAGTTCATACATTTACATGTACAAGTGCACACAGACATATGTGCATATATCCATAAATAATACCGCATGAAATTACTGCATGTTAAAATAAATGGATATATAAATAAAATGAAAGCATAACAAAACTAATCAGTTTAATTGCATTTTACAGTTGAGCAATATAAAGCATTGTTTACTGTTTTTTTCATTTACACACACACACACACACACACAACTACCTACCTACCCACCCACCCACCCACCCACACACATACACACACACACCTACCCACCCACACACATACACACACAGTCACACACCTACCCACCCATCCACACATAAACACACACACACACACACACACACAAGCACCTTCTTTTCCCCCCCCCTCCCTACCCCCTCCCTCTTCACACGCAACCTCACACACAAGCTGCATCGTCCGAGCGACACACACACACACACACCATTTCCTCCCATATTTTCCGCCCCAACAACGCACAGGGTTTCTAGAGCTTCACGAGGACGCAATGCCATGCTTTCGGCCTCTTCTTTGGAATCCGCTGTTGGACATAGGCCTTCCCCAGACTTCGCCAT